CATTTATTGTATAATCTGTGTTTGTATAAAACGAGAAAGAGAGAAAAGGCAAAAAAAGAACTGGACAGGGAAGATTTTATTGTATAATTATAAGTGTATAGGACGAATATATATGTATTTACATGTGTATATACAATTTTCTCTCGCTATATACAAACAGAAACACAATTTATACAATTCTGTTGTATAAAGCAAGAGAGGCGAGCACAAAGGGAGCGAGCGAGAAAGGGAGAGTGGCGAGCGAGAATTTGGAGGGGAGAGAGGCGACTGGCAAACGTTTGCTACGGGGAGCAATTAAATCAAACAGTAGGTACTCCATTTATTTTAGATTATAAGTTTGTAATTCTGTACAATTATCCCTTATTTAATTGTGAATACTATTGTGTTGTTTATTAACTCTAATTTTAGAATTGTTAGTGAACTTAGTTAAATTCCCCAAAAGATGAACCATATTCTTTATGTTAGTTTATTTTAATAAAATTTCATTTTTTCATCAACTCTTGTATTTTTATTAGAAATCTTTATTTTTTTTCAATTAATTAAAAATAGTTATCATGGTTTAATTGACCAATTTGTTTCAAATTATTATTTCTAAAATGATTCAAATAAATTCTAATTTATATAATTTTGTTAAAATCCTAATTGACCGAGTTGTTTCAATTAAAAAGTTGTTATTTTAACTACTTTCTCAAGTCAATCAAATATTGCTATTTTTTTTTTTTATGTTAAATCATTTTCTTAAAAAATAGTCAAAAATATTTTAACCAAGTCGTATGATAACCGCATTTTTGTGGGAGCTTCAAATGCCTTAAAAACCTTCTTGAAGCGTAAATAAGAACCTCTTACCCATTTTCTCTAAATTTATTAATATTTAATCTGTTAAAATCTTTTTAAATTAAGTTTTATTAATTTCTTTAAAAAATTAAGTGGCGACTCTTTTTCTAAGTATTTTCTCAAATTGTTTTATACTTAGAACATTTCAAAATAGTGATTTTCTAAAGATAGTAAAATTACGACATAACAGTTATTATCGATCTTTTAAAAAAAATGCAAGTAGGGATTGTTGTAAAGTCTGTATTGGGAATCTTCAGGACGGAGTGGAAAAAAGGCCAAATATAAGGATCAATAGGAAAGAAGAGAATGGGCATACCTTTCAAGCTTGTATGGATAGCATCAGGAGACCAGGCAAATAATTCATGCAAAAAAAAAACTCAGAAATTGAAAGGAGAGCTCCCAGGAATTTCTGATTTGAAAAAAACAATTACCTCTAATGTCGAAAGCCAAATGTGAAATTTCATCATCAAATTGCTGCACCAACTCAAAACTCAAATCAATCTTCACCAATTTTCTATCAATTTTCTTCCCTTCCATTTTCGTCTCTGTTATTCTCTTCAAATTGAATACGGGAGGGGGAGAGGCAAAATTCACAAAAACCTGCGATCAACAAATTGAAAAAAATACAAAAAATCAGTAACCAAAAATAAGTTTGGATTTGTGAACAGGGAAAGACGAAAAGGAAGAGAGCAAAAGGAGAAGCAATGTGTGGCAACAACTAACTAAATTTAAATTTGATGCATGCAACATATGTTGCATACAGATCAAACACCAAATAAAGCAGCAAAATTGAAATAAAAATTAAGCCAACTGAATGGAAAATTGATAAAATAACTAAGCATAGATATGGTGACAGAGAAAATAACATTTAAGCATTAATAAATGGCTAAGGTTTAATCGAAATTGTACAGAGTTTTTATCTTTTTTTTCAGGGGATTGGGAATATGAAAGAAGAAACACATTTGGGGAGTAGAAGTGAAAAACAATTGCCTCCCACAAAAGATAAAAACAAATAAAGATGTATTTCGTGCCTGCCAAAAAAAGGAAAATTGGAGGCTATTTGAACTTACCTACATACACGTGTACTTAAGCAAGAAAATAAAGAAATAAAATGTGCCCAAGTTTATGGTACAATCTTCGTTACTTTTTGTTCAACTACTTGATGTTGTGTTTGTGGGGTTCCAGGCCTATTTTATTAAAGTCTTACTTTGGTACAACTACATACCAACTAAATCTTACCAAGATAACTACATAGTTGCAAAGTTTGAAACTTAAGTATTTTCATGATGTCATTCGTAACATCATTAGTTGTAAATTTCTTCTATAAAAGGAGCTCATTAGCTCATTCATTTGTAGAACACACAAAGTTAGAGAGAAAAAAAACATATTTTGAGAGCAAAGTGAGGTATTCCATAGACTATAAGAAAAATAGTTTGTGAAGAAAAATAGAGTGTGAGCGATATTTTAGTAAGGTGGAAATCAATAGAGTGTTATTCCTTTTGACTGTGTAGTAGTCACTTTGAGTATTGTATTCGTGACTACACAGTGTAAAATTCCTTACTATAGTGATATCAGTTGTTCCTCTTGGCCTATGGGTTTTCCCTTATTTAAAAGGCACTAAAAAAAATAGTGTTTACCGACGGACACAATCCATCACTATCCAATGAAAATCCGTCACTAATCATGATTAGTGACGGATTAGCAACGGATGATTGGTTGTTGCTATTACGCTCGTTAGTAAGCTCTTAGTGACGAAAAAATGAGTTCCATCACAAGTTAGCGACGTCATAGTGACAAAACATTTTCGTCGCAATATGTTAGCGACGGACTTAGTCGTCATTATATTTATATAATTTTGTTGCTAATTTAATAATTCTAAGACGAAAAAATGAGTTCCGTCACAAGTTTAGCGACATGATAGTGACGAAAGATTTTCATTGCCACTTGTTAGCGACGGACTGATTCTTCATTATATTTATATAGTTTTGTTGCTAATTTCATAATTCATTTCGTCATTTTGGATAAATTTGCAACGAAATTTCCATCGCAACATATTCTGTTACAACATATTAGGCCTTTAATAATTCGTTGCTAATCCGTCGCCAACATTCTTTTCATAGCAACGACCAAATAGTCGCTAAATTTGTTGCTAAAAATTATTCTTCTAAAATTATTTGATTTGGTTATTTTAAATATGCACTGCTGAAATAGATTAAATTTAAATTACTAAATACTCTAAAAATATCAAACATTCATATAATATAATACTCATAGACGATTCATAATATATACATAGAAAACTCCAAAACCACATATTTTTGGTTAAAAATATCCAAAGTAAACTATCAAGTACTCTTAAATAAACCTACGTTCATCAAAACGTTACTACGCAATTTGTAGTTTCCAAAAAGTATGACATTACAAAAGACTAAAGTTGTGGGAGACTAAGGGATACGATCGTCACTTGAAATTGAGGGATCAACCTCGTCCACATTAGTAGGAGGAGGCACTATGGGTGTCACAATCGATGAATTCACGGATGGACTAATTGATGCTTACACCTGCTCAACAACAATAGGAACAAGATGACTAGTTAGTGCAGGCATCATTTGCTTTATAAATTCGTCCATATTTGTTATCGATGTTGATTGAGAAAATGGAGGTGGTAATGATGATGAGCCACAAAGACTCTAAAATGGAGGTGGTAATGATGATGAGCCACAAAGATTCTGCCCATAGTAATTTTTTGCTTCAGATCCAAGACCGTATATTCTTCTTTTCTTTTCTCCCCCCGCAGCTTGGTAATATGCTTCACGTTGATCAATATTTGTTTGAGACACTGTGTTTTTTCGTAATATTTCTTCATATTTTTCCTATAATAAGTAGAGAAAATGAGAAAGCATTAAAGAAAGGGAACAAAATAAATTTTGAAGGAAAATGCAGAAAGATACATAAGCTTTTAAGCTTAAAGGACATGTGTTTTGTTTTCCCAGGAAAGAACTGTGTTGTTGCAGAAAGATACTCCCTCCGTCCCTTTTTAGTTGTCCACTTTAGAAATGGCACACAGATTAAGGCAACAATGATTAGCACAGTGAAGTTACAATTTTACCCTTATGACAACTTTTCACTTCAAAATTACAACCACTTATTTGAATTCAAGTGAAATAAATTGGAGGGAAACAACATACATTTTTAGAAATTTTCAAGAAGTGTAAATAAGGGTATAATAGGAAAAAATTTGTTGTCCTTTCTTGATTTGTCAAAATGGACAACTAAATAGGGACAACTAAAAAGGAAATATGGACAGCTAAATAGGGACGGAGGGAGTAACTGACAATGCATTTTCCTTGCATAATATGAAACATAAAACAAAAGGCATCACTCCAACGTTGGTACAAATCTTTTTGCAACTGGCCCCACTTCTTTGTCCTCATTGATATGTATTCCATCATTAAAGCAGTATAATTAATTAAACTAAAATAAATTACAGTCCACTATCACTGGCCTTTGTACTGTAATTTCCCTGATTAGTCAGTTATCTGGTTTCCATATGTATATAATACTTTAGTGCATTGTATTAGTAGATAATTGTTGCAAGGAAAATGCAATGAAAGAAGGACAGTGCAACTTATATTAGCTAGTCTATGAAGTGTTGTTTATAAGTTATAGTAATTAGCTTAGACCTACAATTTTGAACTCGTTTAAATTGCAGAATAAAGATCATACTTGAACTCACACAGAACTTCAAAACAAACTAATTTCTATTACCCAAACAGCATCAGAAACACTCGAAAATTACCCAACCAACATCAGAATTACATGAAAACAACTGCACTAGAGTCACACAAAATGACACTAGAATCGCATCAAAATAACACTAAAATTGCACCAGAAAAGCCTCAAAACAGCAATCGAATTACACCAAAACAGTAGCAGTAGATTCTCTCAAAAACAGAACTATAATTGCACAAAAAACAACTGCACTAGAGTCACACAAAAATGACACTAGAATCGCATCAAAATAACACTAAAATTGCATCGAAAAGTCTCAAAACATCACCAGAATTATACCAAACAACAGCAACAGATACACTTTAAAACAAGACTAAAATTGCACCAGAAACTACGGTAGGAAAGAACCGAAACAACTCCAAGTTTTAGACTTACATGGACAATTCGAGAACGCTCACCAACAAATGATTTTCCATCATGACCATGTGTATGAACATGCAAATGTAATTCAATTGGTGTTGGATCTCGACCTTTTTCAATAGCCTATACAAAAGAAATCACGTTATGTATGTCATACAATAGAAGATGTTAGTTATAGAGTTTGTAAAATATATATACTCACAAGTTTCCTGCGATGTTCTCCAATTGAAATAGAGCCGCCTGTGTGAGTCCCAACAACAGTTTCATGGCCGCCACAACGATTTTCAAATTAATTTCTGACTTTTTTATACACTTTTCACTTCCCCAAAGTTGCATCCATCTTTTCCACACATTTTCTGGTACATAACCTGGCCTAATTCCTTCCTTTTTTATTTTAGAAATGAAATTCCTGTATTTCAGTGCTGCCTTAACCATCCAGTGTCTTTTCACTTCGTTTTCACTAATGGAAACATCCCAGTAAAAAATTTTCTGAAAAAACTTTTGAAAGTAATACATTAATGTCCTATCTACATATGTGAATACACTTGCTAAACTCACTTAAGATGAAAAGTTATACCTTGAATTCTCCAAAATAACCATTTCTTACATCAGTTGAGACACCTTTCCAATTGATTCCATTGGGATCAA